CCTACGATCTGTTCGTGATGAAAATAAGATTATTTTTCAAGAAAATAAACTAAGATACCATGTGATGTAATATAATAACCAGAATAACGTCTTCAAGTTTAACCAATAGTGCTAATGCGTATTTTTCACTAATGCCTCTTCATCTGAATGCACCAAGAAATATATATACACTAATTCATTCTGCTAAAATCTTATATAATAAATATTGTTGTTTAATATAAAATATTTGACTTCATAATAAATATTTTCTCTAGGCATGTTCCTATTTTCTTTCTTAATGAAGCCCACCATAATTACTTTTCTTTCCATTTACAAATTATGTCAAGGTTTTCTTTATGTTCAAGCGATAATGGTTCATAATCCATTCATTGTAATTCTATTTATTGCATTCAACTATCTAATTGTCATTGAGAGAATAGAAAAGTAGGACAAAAAAGTATTCTGTAATAGATAGTAAGATTATGACGAAGTAATAAATTAAATGCGCGTAAGCTACAGTTAGTCTATGGAAAAAGAAACACTTTCACACTCCCACACGCATTTAGCCGAACAAACAAACAAACAGTCAAAAGAATACAAAAATCACAGAGTGGAGCGTAATTATTTTCCGTAATATTTACATTTCTATGTAATTTGTCCGGGCAGGAGATTTTGTTTAACTTCGAAGTATTGGTCTGTAGTAATGCTGTGTGCAGTTGAATAATATAAAGCTACGCATAGAAAGAAAGAATATACTAAGATAAAAGCTAATTGCAAATTGTGGTTAATTGACCTAAGTTGTATTACCGAAGAATATGTATATTGGTGACATAAAACGTTTTTATACAGTTCCCGCAACACTGATAATGAATAAGCAAAGTTGTGTTGGTCTACAGGAGTTAAAATTAATATAAATGGTAGGGCATAGATGCTTTCACAATATGAGATATTATCTCCATTATTGTTCGGTAGCCTTTCATGAATCCTGTAAAATCGTTGTCATCTTTTTTAATGTTAATTTTACTTTTCTACTACATTTCTAAATACTATGCTAAGAAAATGAAGTAGGTGCTATGCCCCTTTAACATCCTACCACATTTTGAAGCACATGGTCATGTAACAAGATGACAATGTGACTTCTTTGATTCGGACGCTTTAACTGTCAAATGTTAGACAGCTTTTGGAGTGATTATTCGATATTTCACTCAGAAAATCATCACTTTTAATAGTAATTTTCTCCCCTCTGTTGAAAGAAGGTAAAGTCCATTTAAATAGAAGCTATTTGCTATTGATATTACAAACAAGATGTTGAGCTGGTGTTAACCTGTGAGAATTACACAAGGTATAGTGCTCAGTTATTCTCTTGTTCCGCGTTGTTTGTAGGTGTGAAGCACTGGATAATTGTAACCTTCCTTCCTTCCTTTTGAGTTGAATCTTGCTGTCATGATCCTGGATGAAACTGATTCCCACTGCACTAGAGCTTTGACTGCTGTTGGTGACATCATGATAGCCACTCCCTCAGTGTGTGCTTATGGTTGTCGTTGCTCAGCAAATATACAAAAGAAAGTGGGGATGGATCGGGCATACGTTGAGGAGGCGGTCGAATGACATTGCGCGCCAGGCCATTACTCGAGTGGAGTCGTCGTCTAGGGTGACATGGAGGAGATCGTGCGAGGAGGAGATGAGAGATTATGGACAGTCGTGGACCCAGATGAAGAGGACAGTAGAAAATTGAACAAATTGGAGATGTGCTGTTGTCCCACTCGGAACCCAAGGGAATAATGATAATAAAATAATTATTACAATAATAGTGCTCAATTGTAAGCTATAAAACACTTTTGTTCTCCTCGTGCGGAAGTTATCGTGATATTGATGTCTAGTTTAACAGTAACACTTTGCCAAGCATAATTTAGCCATGGGAACTATATAGTTCAGTTATCGGTCATTCAGGCTGCAAAATTCTTTCATTTATAACGTGTATATACTTTTTACTTGTCCTGTAGAACTGTGCTTATCTGGATGATTTTTAATCACCAGGTGGCGTTTACCCATTTACTCTGGCCTTAAAAACTGGATAAACTGTTAAACATAACAAATTACTAACAGCCTTATGTACTTTGTAACAAATAACTGAGTTGCACTATTCTCATCATTATTTATATATTACTTAATGATAGTTTAAGTAAGCGCTACCTTGTCTTTATAATTCTATGGTATTACATTTAAAATCTTATTCAGGTGTTGGCTTGTAGGGATTTGACTGGTTACAGGATTTCACCATGAGGTAATATCGGTTAGTGAACCACTGAAACCTTGGTGTTCTGCTGAAGAGTCCCAAACTAGGACAAAACACATATCCAGTACTTCCAGGTTTTCCAGCGGTCCTCTAAACGATCTCAGCTCATGATGAAATGCTAAAATTTTATTCCTTAGCATTTCTGAGTAGACCATAGGGCTTCAGATGTAAGCTTTGAATTTCCTGTAACAGGGGTGTATCTTTTTACGTGGGGAAGTTGCTAGCTTCACGCACAACCTTATCACTTTACCGGCGTTACTACCGATTAAGAGAGATTTAGGATTGCGTCGGCCAAGAATCGACCCTCGGACCACGCGCGTAGGTGGAGAACTTTCTATCATTGAACCACTGACGAAAATAGCTGTATGTTGAACCATTAATACTTTGTCATTAATGTGCAAAGGATAACTCGATCATGTCTAAGAGAATAATCAGTCTAATTTAGAAGGTTTCTTTTCTTAGCATCATAATATATATGATAATGACGGTGCAGATGGTGGTATTTATTAGAAGTATTTAGTTAAAAAGGTTACAAGAGATAAACTGAATCATGATTACATCTTTTTTGTTAGTAAAGGAACACAAATCTCTAGTCGTATAATCAAAAGTGATATTTCACTTATACAACAAACTGTTTGTTAATAGTCTTTCTTACACTAAAAAGCAATAATTAATTAATCATTTCAGCTGCATTGATTAGTTCAGTTCCCATAAACTAATGAAGTGAATCGTAGTAAAAAAAAGTAAATCAGAGATTAAAGGGTATCCGACTTGAGAGGGTATCAGAAGTGAACCTTCACACAATGTATGTACATTATGTGTTGAATATATATACTAAGCTGATGATGAAAAAAAGTAATTAGTAATTGTTTAGTCAGAATTTAAGTGAAAACTTCCAAAATAAATATGGCATTTAACAAAAAAACCCTTAGCTTTTCAGAAAGCTTTTATGCTCTCTAATTTCAAATGATATTGGAAGCAACTTCGATAAAATTCTGAATCACTGGAAATTTCTGCTCTATGTCTGATAATGCCAAACTATATTACTAATAGTTCTTCATCATCAAACCTAACAACACTAAGTGTATGCAACACAAATTCTATCCTTTAATTACTAGAGGAACATAGGGCTTCAGCCGAACATTCAGTTCTCTGTCAACGTTTTCACCTGGCTCCATGTCTGCCCACATGCTTTCATCGCATCTTCACATGACCTCCTCCATATCACACTCGCACTGACGACCAACTCACCACTTCCCATTCGGGTTCCACTCGAGCAATGGCCTGGCGTGTGATGTCACTTGATGGTTTTCTCATAGTATGGCCAATCCACCTCCATTTCTTCCTGCATATTTGTTGCACAGTTGGTTCCTGCTGGGTTTGTTCTCTCATTGCCAGAGATCCCTGTTGCTGATCTTTTCTGGCCGGCCATGATCTTGAGTATTGAGCGAAGACAGCTGTTGATGAAGGTCTGTAGTTTATGTGAAGTGCCTTCCCTGACGCTCCAAGTCTCTGATCCGTATAGTAGTACTGACTTCACATTGGAGTTGAAAATCCACATCACATGAGTCAATTACAAACTATAAAATGTATTTTCAAGACAACCTACTCAGTTTGATTAACATTTTTACTGCCCGTCGGATCATATATTTTAGTCTGAATACTTTTTTTATTTTTCTAGAGTAAAGATGTTTATATTTCACTTCAAAATAAGCAACATGCAACTAGTTTCATTCTGAAAAGGTTAATTAAATGGATTCAGTTATTTTTTCAAATGTTTGAATGATTATAAAAACAGATTTTTGGTTAGTTTGTGGAGTCTGGAAGAATATGATTGTACAGTATTTTTTTAGATGTTAAAATAGAAACAGTGTACATAACTTTTGTTTAAAACGATTTATTGTAAAATATACATAACTTCGAAGTACAATCTAAAATACAGTGTGCTACTGACGCTTCGTCTTCTCACTGGTCCATACTGTCTACTTGCTTCACTACCAACCGTGTTTTATCCTTTGGATTTTGTAGGAACCTCTCATCCCCACCCGAAGACTATTCTACAACCGGTGCATAGCTCCTACCAGTGGACACTACTCCATCAGTAAATGCTTCCGTGGATTATATTAATAATTTGTAGCAGCGGACTTTAACTGTATCACCAAGTAACCATTAATTTATATAACTCATTAAGTGTATTTTTTATAATATAATGTTACACTATCATTTAATTAACTTGGATTTCTATTCTAATATTTGTTCCGTTACCAAGCTCACTATTAAGTCCCCTACAAGTTTTTGAATACATAATCTACTAATTTTGATGGGAAAGCACTCATTCGAAGTCTAACCTACTCATTATTATTCTTTTGTTCACTCAGCTGTGTATTAGAGTTACACATAAGCTGTATTTCTATTTGTAATTTATATGGTTTTTAGTATTGGTTTGTAGGGATTTGATTGATTGGTTACAGGATTTCATCATGAGCTGACATCGGTTAGAGAACCATTGGAAAATCAGATGCCAGTAGTGGACAGCTGTTTCGTCCTAGTTTGGGACTCTTTATCAGTACGCACCCACCGGGGTTCAAACCCAGGACCTTCTGGTTACAAGGCGAGCTGGTATACCATTTAGCCACTGGAACCCAATCCAATGGCCAGCCCATGAATTCTAAATTCTGCCAAATACTTGACAACTGCTCGGAGTTAACTCATGAAATATACTCACTCTTTTCATTTTTCCGTCGCAATGGTTTTTTAGAATTTATAATCTCATTATTTCCTTCTTTGGACTCCATTGATTCCTTGGAATTTTGAGGGATTGTCTGAGGAAAACCACCTTCAATGGTTCCAGAATTCATGAATGATGAAGACGGTTTAAACTGTGGATGCTGTCGTAAACTAGCTGGTTTTATCTGTTCTTCATACTGGGAATAATCTGCTGTCTTTGGAACAAAGCGCTTCGGTTCATTAGATGACCAGTCACTGTGAGCGATCTGTAAAACAGATTTAATATATAAACGAATATTAGTGAATGAATTATGAAAATACCTGAGTAAATGCAAAGATTTAAAAGTGAACGTGTGAACAAACTGTTGAGTTATTCATCAAGTAAGTTCTGTAAACTTCATCCTTAATTCCCTAATTAATCTTCTCGTGAAAATGGGTTAAATGTATATATAATTTTGACTTATGGATCAACTCCAGTCTATCAGTGCTTACCTTTAGAAGTCTCATAATCATGACATGCAAACATCTGTCAGAATTCAGGGGTCACCCGATTCCGACCTAAGTGGCTGAGAATTCAACCAGCTGGCATCTTTACCTGAATGTTTTGGCTTCGATTCCCGGTGAAGATGAGGGTGCATACTACTGAAAAGTCACAAAGTAGGACAGAACAGCTGTCCGGTGCTCCCCGGTTTTGAATGATTCACTCACAAATGCTGGAATGTGAGGACATCTACAATGGAATTAGTCCAAATCCCTACATAACTCATAATCTATATATACTTAAGTGATTCATAATAACAACATTTCATATACTAATAGTTGATGTCCGAAAAAATGTACGCTGTTTTTCCATGCTAAATGATTCTGCCTGTCTAAATTTCAGAAAATGAGGAGTAATACATGATTTCATGAAACTGATTTGCATAGTCCTTTTACAATATTTCACCGGATGAGTCATATGCAAGCATAAATAAAGTACAGTGTAATTATTTTTACAGGATAGTCAGAATTCATTATCATACCATGTGAGTTGACTTACTTTTACTTTTTCTGCATTACACCATGCATCTCTACAACAATGTGTCATTAAATAAGGTGAATTAAATTGTTTCTTTGGTCGAATTTCTTTTTTTGTACACATTGTTAAAAAACTGGCAGATACACAACCCCGGCTAATAGAGGTGCCAGTAATTTCTGTTGATCGATTTGTCAACTGATCATCTGACGTATCTGACGTCCAACTCAATTCATAAATACTGTAACAATAAAATTCAGCTTTGCATTCATTATATCCAAAAGCACGGCAGTCGTCTGTATCACAGTGACAAAGTATATAACCTATAATTGATAGATAATTGAACAAAAAAAGAAGATGAGGATGGCATTTAACCTTAATTCATCTAAAATGCATGGAGCATGGCGTTTAAAATAAAATGTCAGGTGTGCTGTTCATCAAAAAGCCTAGTTACTCAAGAGATATTAGGTATTACTGGAAAATAGAGAGACAATGCATGTTGGATTTAAAACGGTGATCGTAGCAAAATGAATACCAGGCAATTACAGTAAACAAATCAATTTCGGAGTATTAGACACTGTGATATTTCATTAAACAGTGCTACCACTAGCGCATATTTCAAACCCATCAATGAGGTGGCTATGAGATGTAATACTAGAGGACTGGAGTTGGTGTTGCAATATCTACGCAGCAACACATCTAAGAGAACGAAAGAAAATATGTTAACGAACATATCCGATATGCATATGCAACTATCGAAGTGTGGAAAGAAGTTACAAGGAACTCATTTGAAATTAGGATTTCTTACTAAACACCACGTATGTTGATTTGGCTTAAAAAAATCAAATGAGAGGACTTAGTCGAACACGACAAATAATCCTTTTTAGCTTTCGAATAGAATCTTTCACTATATGTTGCTGTTTCATTGAAAACTAGATTCACTGATTGGCAAAGTACTCCGTCTTGACTTAGTTTAGAGAACCGAATCTGTTCAAACTACCAGAATCCTGGATAGCGCTAGCTACTTAGGCGAAGTGATAATACATGGAATCAAATTCTCGATCTGAAAATTACACAGTTCGAGATTAAATTCCACCATCAACAGCTGTCTTTGCTCAATATTCAAGATCAGATGACCGGCCAGAAAAGATCAGCAACAGGGATCTCTGGCAATACGCGAACCAACCCAGCAGGAACCGATTGTGCAACAAATATGCAGGAAGAAATGGAGGTGGATTGGCCATACTCTGAGAAAACAAACCATCAAGTGAGTGACATCACACTCCAGGCCATTGCTCGAGTGGAACCCGAATAGGAAGCGGCGAGTTGGTCGTCTGAGGGTGACATGGAGGAGGTCATGTGAAGAGATAAAGCATGTGGGCAGACGTGGAGCCAGGTGAAAACGTTGGCAGAGAACTGAATGTAATGGAGACGTTCGGCTGAAGCCCTATTTTCCTCTAGGAATTAAATGAAACAATAATAATTGCTACTGGCCTATTTGAGTAGTTGCCAACTACTCAAATAAATAAATCAGTAGATTATGCCACAAAACGTTGTGAAATTCAGGTTAATCATACTGTTAGCAGGTTTCAAGGTCTATTTCAATTATAACTTCTACATATGGTTTGTCTTCGAGCATATTTAGTATTCTTTTGCTACTCACCAATCCTAGTGTAGATTTACTGCATTATTCTCAAGCTGACTTCACTGGAGTATGTTTCTTTGTACATCTTATTCGTGATAGTGATCATTGTTAAATCTATTCCTTTGACTGTTATCAACATATGAAACGTCCACCATAGTATGTATATATATAACATTTAAATATGAACAGAGCTAACAGTGGAGAGTTTGGTTCATGTTGACCTTGTATATCATGCAGAGTACTCACCAGACCATCACGCTACTGTAATCATTACTTTGCCTCAAAAGTAAAGCTTTCATCGGTTTAACGATTATATAATGATTTAATCTTCAAATTTTGCTTCAAACTTCCGGTTAGTACACTTTAACGTCGCGTTTGCCATTAAAAACCAAAAAAGTAGAATAAACCCTTCTGTGTAATTCAAACTTCAGTATTATTATAATATTCGTCCCTAGGATTTCAAGTGGAACATATGGCTTCAAAATCACATCTCCACTGAATCCTTCTGCCTGTCAGCTTTTTTTTAACTGAATGAACGACTGTCCACAAGCTTCCATCTTCTCTTCACAAGACTTTTCACTAAGTCACCTTTGGACACCCAACTCGTCACTTCCCACGATTCTAATCAAGAGCCTGGTGAGTTTCAAAATTTACAATAAACCTTTAAGAATGTTAAACTGTTGTTACGCTTTTCTTAACTATACTTTTTTCGAGATAATTCAAAACAAGGTTATAGATGTCACTATTTACAATAGTTAACATGGTAAAATTTATTTTTTCCATATTTCCCCAAAATGACGCGCATTAATTTCTCTGAAGCCAAATGAAAGTTTATCTTAACTGACATCATGTCATTTTTGGAGAATTTTCAGATCACCTTAGAAAATATATTGACTTTACTATCTTATTATGTGGTTCACACGAAATGTTTTAAGTTATCTCATAATTTCGCGTGACATATTTGTCATATACACTTAGATAATTCAACTATGCTTTTATAATGACTATGATGACAGATGCTTCATGGCACATTGTTTATTTAAAGTGTTAATAAATTCAAGCGATAGGAGAGCTGCATTATCAAGGTTAGAAGTATACAAAGGAAAGACTATATACTATTCAATGTAAAGAGCCTTAGCAATTAGGTTTTTTGAGCTCTTTCGTCTCATGTTTGGCAGTCAACTTATAAAATCTTTTGGATTCATTTATGAAACAGACTTTATGATGGTACAATTCGCTCATCATAACAACTATTTTAGTTTTGTTTTATTTTGAAAGGACAGGCTAAAGAGTTGTATAAAGCGATACAAATACCAGAAATTAGTGTTTCTGAAATGGTTGGTGGAATAATACAAATTCAATCTCTCTCAATCTCTTTATATATATATATTTTTAATGTTATTTGGGCTCGTCATCTGGATGTACCTGCATTTCTCAGTGAGTGATGATGTTCCCACCGAGGCTGGAACCCAGTGCCCATAGTTTCAAACGCCAAAGCGTTATCCACTAGACCACTTGGGCCACGAGACTGAGACCGAGCACTTCGGTCCAATCAATCGGAAAAAGTATATATATTTATTATAGCTTGATTCCACACTGTATTTTGGTACAGCTATGGAATTTTCAGCATGTGATATCAGTAGCCCAAATTTTGTAGGCCAACCATTGATATCAGATGTGCGTCGGCTGGGGATCGAACCCCGAACCATGTGCATGGTCGGCGAGCGTCCTAACCACTGTGCCACCGACGCACATTAATGGGCCAATCCTCGAGATAATGAAATACGAGGCCAACTCGTGGACAGGGTTGTGCAAGCTCACAGCACCAGTCCGTAAGGGAAAAATACAGGTTATTTCATTGGTCTCAGTTTAGAGACTGTTGCAGAAATTACACTGCAAATAACAGATACTACACATGATCTTAGCTCAGAGAGCCAAATAATAGGAGTTATCACTGAGTAATGTTATTAGAAGACGATGTTTATCTGTAAAAATGTGATGTATTTGGTCAATTCCTTTCAACTAATTTAAGTACACATCTACTTTCATTTCTGTCTATTTGAAAGTTAAAACAAACGAAATAATATAGAATTCAAGAGTGTGGAGGAGGATATTTTACACTACTCTAGATAATATAATCACATAAGGATTATGAAAGTTGGTGTAGTGTAACAAGAAATAGCTTTGTTTTTTTACCTACTAGGGATGAGGCTAGTTTTTATGAATAACCTCATCATATACATCCAAGACAGTGAAGTTACACAATCTTGAATGTAGTTTTAACGTCTTTCTGATGATTCATATCAACCATATATTTTGTTGTGTCAAATACCCTCGTCACCTAATTTATTATGCTCACTTCAATCAACAAATTATTATATTCATACTAGACTGTCATAAAAAGGTCACTTCACACAGCTACATGGAAAATTATTGACTTAAGCAATGTTGAGTCTCTCTATTGGCACTAATAATTCTCCTTTAATTTCATACCCTTCTAAAAGTCTCTACATTAAAGGGTAATCCCTACACTCAGTAACTAAATTAACAGCTGGGGAGTTCAAAGATTCCCGATTTAACCATAGATATAGTTCCTAAATGAGTGTTAATGATAGTCTTTTTTGTGAGACAGAGCAATCACTAGTAATCTCTTATTCTAATTAATTCCTTCTTCGTTTAATGCTCTTTGTAAATGGTGACTGCACACAATATCCTTCAGCTAAAAACACAGCATAATATTAATGTCAAAGAAATAATGTGAAATGAAAAGGAAACATTGACAATGTGTTTAGTTCCACAATATATTATGACCTGTTTCCGTTTCTATCATCTGAAATTCGTTTATTAACTAAATCACTACTACATAATCTTAGTCATCCAGTGTACTTCTTGCTTGGAAAACAACAGTGCATTTCTTTTGCAATGACCAATAATGACAATTTTTGAAGGCTAATGCTACCACACAGATTCTGTCTAAATATGTATATATATATTTTCTCCTTCTAAATTTGTCTATGAATGATAAACTTAGATAACTTAATTAACAATAAGTTCCTTATTTTAAATCTGTTAGCATTACAGACTGTGTTTGAAAAGAAAAGAAAAGAAAAAAAATATTTTAAATGAACAAATGGTAGATACATGAAGGAGAAACAGTTAACTAGGTAGCCCACCCAATTTAAAATACTTATTAAAATAGTCTGTCTACCTACGTAAAGTAATACAATAGTATAGACACCTAATAGATTTATTTTAGTAAATTTTTTTTTTTCTATTTTCTTATTTTCAAAATCTGTTAAACACATAATGGTGAAGGAAAAAAAAACTGTTTTTTCCTCTCTTTCCTTCCTTTTTCTTTAAGGCATATAATTTGTTCAATAGTCAGATTTCAGTTTTAATTGACTGACAGTTGGTTTAAGCTGGACTTTTAAATGCAACAAAACAAATCACTATAGTATGCTTTGCTTGGAAACTGTTGAAGACTTAATATTTTGAATTTTAACAAATAAAAGTTTAAAAAACATTATTTTTGAAGGTTCTGTCAGTTTTGATAATGTGAAGAGGAGTATTTGGATTGAAAACGTGTTACTCTTTAGATTTCAAGTTACTATGTTTTTACGAGTTTCACCGCGGATTGATATCAGTTAGAGAACCATTGAAAACCAACAGGGAGTACTG